GCTGTCATCTCTATTGCAAAGGCTAAATGCATTTTCTGTGCTCGTCCATTTACATCCCAAACCAACGGGACAGTCGAGATTTTAGTACAAACACAGAAAACAGAGGTGGGCTAAGGGGTAGGGACAAAGGGTTAAAGAAAACAGAACTGGATGCATCAATTCAGATTTTATATACGCTTTTTTACTATTAAGAATTTACATGCAAAAAAAAATGGGAAAACAGGAAATAAGAATGTGTTTGTTTAGTAAAAGTGAGATATGGCCAGTCTTCCTAACCAAACCAGTTAGAACAAATAAAATGTTAACACTTAACAACTATTGACCTACTTTTCTTTGCAGCCTTTAAACAATTTATTTCTTTAATGAAACAAATATCTAGACCCTCTAGTGCTACAACAATCGGACGCTTCTGGTCAGGATGAGATTAAATCCCAGCAGCTGATCTCAGTTTCAAAACGTAAAAAGTCAAATCCCTCTCAACGAGAAAATCGTAAAAATACTGCAGATAAAGGATCTCTGTGCGTTCTATGTATTGCCCAACGTTTGTGGGGAAAATCAATGTGCTGACTCAACCGCAAACGTTTATCATGAAGAGCGTGTGGAGCTCGACCACACGACACGAACCGTCCGGTAAACAGCTGCACTGTGCCACATCTGCCAGGGACGTTTCACACAAGTTAGCGTCCAGGAAAAACTAAAACATAATAAAAGTATATAAAACAAAGAAGAAGAAACGCCATTAATAGCAATTATTCAATCACATGAAGTATTTTTTTTATCTATAGTTTCAACGATTGATTGAAGCAAAGCACTAAAATCTCAGAGATAAGGCGATCCTGAATCCACAATCAGCTCCGAACAGAAAACAACAGCGTGTGGAGGGAGTTGGAAAAACCCTTTAATCCCAACACATTAAAAAAAACAGGATCCTCGACTCTCTGCTCTTTGTGTTTGATGGAATTCAAGTTATGCCCCCTGGCTTCGACCCAAGCGGCCCTGCGATGCATTTTCTTCCACGCTACTGTTTAATCAGCATCTTCTGCTGGGCATGACTTTCAACCTGGCTCTTGTTTATGAGGCCTTCAGGGACAACGACGTCACGCCTCAATCCATCATTCGGACAGATGCTCCTAGTTATCAAAAGCTTTTCTTTCTGTCGTGGTTATTGTCTTCAACTGGACTTCAGATCAAGCAGATGCATCGACCATCAGATCATAAAAAGGGTTGTTTTTTTCGTAGCACACCTCATCAGCTTCCATCCCAATTCTTAGAACTGGTTAATTGCATTATGACTCACTTGTGGATACAGCTTGAGGCAGAGTTCTGGCCCCCGTTTGACAGATTTCTCCATGCGACGACAGAGTGTTTGACATAAAATGGCACCTCAAGAAAGAAGAACTTGCACCGTCAGTCTGAGGAACCGACACTATTACAATTTCTGACGTTTATCTTTGATGCCAAAATATGTTTTTGTACAGCCAAAGTTACTTTTCTTTGCTTTAAGATTTGCTGTTAAAAGGTCTTGACTCTAAAAAATCTGCAGGACCAGATGAACTTCCACCTTATTTCTAAGACTAGCCGCACAAATCATCACAGTACCGGTGTCTCGTGTCTTTAACCTGTCCATAAGCCAAAACTCAGTTCCTAACGCTTGGAAAACAGCTTTTGTTCTTTCTTTACTGAAGAGACCCCACCTCACTGAACAACTATCGACCAATCTCTAAACTCTGTATTTTAGCTAAGATTTTAGAAAAACTGATAAACTCTCAAATCAAAATGTATTTGGAATCATTTAACATCTTACCTCTCCATCCATCTGGTTTCAGGAAACAACACAGCACAACGACTGCTTCACTGAAGGTTTTTAATGACATTGAAGCACTGGATGCTAAGGATTATTGTGCTGCACTGTTCTTGACACTGTGGATTAAGAATGCACGATATATACGGTACACGGCAGAAACGATGGACATTTAGCCTACGATAGAGATCTGTCTTCTACCGGCTAACCGCAGTAATGCTGCGTCTGATGTAAAATCAGAGTTGCCAGATTTAATCGTTACTTTTTTTGAGTTGAAAACTGTGCGTAAGTGGTGTTAAAGTCCTTTCTTCGAGAGCTAAGTAGCGAAGCTACAAGCTGACTACGGCTGGCTTGCTGTACTCGTATTCGGACTCGTGCGCAAAACGCTGTGTTCTGTCGAAAGTTGTTTTTTTTCGTCGAAAGTTCATTGGTCAGCTTTAGAGAGTGCATTTGAGAGAAAAAACCTGCTCTCTGAGAAGAACGTTGTGTTGCGTGATTTTACTGCGAGACCCTCTGGTCAAAGCCACAGACGAAATTGGTCGCCATTTTGTGTCAGCTCTCCTTAAAGCGAAAGGAGACGCCCACTAGAGGTTTGGAGGGTGAAGTGTTTTCAGTGTAACATGCTGCTCTGTTGCTGTTCATTTCTTAAATAAGACTGGAAACTGTTAAGAGTTAACAACATATTATTTTGTTTAAAACATATGGCTAAAACTACATTTGATATATTTTGCACTGTTTTGCACTACAAGAAAGAAGCCTAATACTTGATTTGTTAATTATTTAAAAACTCTCTGGACCTAGTAGTGAAATTTTCTTAATTGAGATTATTTTGTGGTATAGCAGTTTTCAAAATAAATGCTGGCAAAATGACACCCTATGCTTTTTTAATTCCTATTGCAAGTTTTATACCAAACACATATGATATATATTGTTACAGTCACCCATCACAATACATATTGTGACATGAATTTTATGCAATATCGCACATCCCTACTGTGGATCATGACATCTCGTGTCATAAACTCTCAGAAATCAGTTTCTCAGATCACACCATTGGTTGGTTCACTAATGATCTTTCAGATCGGAGGCAATGTGTTCAACATAATGGTACTTCTTCCAGTTATTTAACGGTTAACAATGGTGTACCACAAGGCTCAATCTTAGGACCCACCCTCTTTACAATCTACATAAGTAATGTAGTAATGTAGGTCAGTTCATTCCTGATGCATCCTTACATTTCTATGCTGATGACACAGTTGTTTACTGTTGAACTAAATCGGTCGTTAAGGTTTTCCAGCTCCTACAGTCTGCATTCAACATCATTCAGTCAAACTTGTTCCGTCTCAAACTGGTGCCAAATGTGATAAAATCACTGACTTGATCACTGAGACTAACCTGTATAAATTAAGGTTGAATGAAAAAGATACTCTCAGATGCTTTTGCACCTGTTTAATCCACCAAACCATGACCCGATTGAAGCAAGGGGAGAAAAAAAAAAAAACACTTTTTCAAACAACTCCCTCCTCCCCGTCTCCCCACTTCCCTCCTTCCACCAACGCAACAGGATATTGCTCAGTGACACAACAGGGCTATGGCTTCATGGAGACATGTAGAGGCAGGCTGGGGGACAAAGCTTCAGAGAAGAATTAAAAAACAAGAAGCAGGGGGGAGGCAGGAGAGTGATACGATCTCCCAGCGCACAGACACGAATTGTGTTCGCTTCGGCCCGCCTCATATACAAACAGCATATTAACAGAACTCCTCTTTTTTTTTACACTACGGGAGATGCATTTTCATCTGGAGGGTGGGGGGTGGGGGGGGGGGAGGCTGACATGGGAGACAAAGATAAGCGAGGAGAGAAGACATGTGTGAACCGATCCAACAAGTGAGATTGACAGATACAAAAGAGACGGAGATGAAATTGTTCAGGAGTCTTGGAGAAAGGTATTCTTTGGATGTGTCACATAAGGTTCCTGTGCTATAAACAAACCTTGGATCAAGGAAGTGAACTTAAAAGCCAGGGCTGTGTTCCTACAAACCTACAGCTTTCACTGCGTTAGTCATTGTCAGCTAAATAAAAAGGGTGCCAATGCAATCCTTCCCAGTGATATGAATATTGGGCTGCATCACAGGAATGTTAATAACAGAGAGCAAGCTGCTGTAAAACACACGACTCTGTGTTTAGGTTAAAAGCAGAGCTACAGCTAACAACGGTACTTGTAGCATGCATGAGCCCAGTACTTTGACGCCGGGCCCGCTGCCTCTGCATGGCATCAGGGTTCAAAGTATGAGTGTTCCAACGGTGCTGAAATGGAACGCTTCCTAAGAAATTGCTGACCTTTGCTTGCTAAGCAAGGCATTCTGTTCTATCAGCAACACATACTTGCATGGTTCTTCTCCCCCCTGTGACCTCAGATCACCTTATTGAACAAACAAGACACGTGACTTGGCTTCCAAAAAGAAGATTTATCATACCATAAAATGTTTCCCCTCGATCTCTGTCGTGATCTTAGGTCACGTTTCTAAAGAAAGATGATTTAAGGTTATCTTTACTTTATAATTGGCATAATAAACAATAAGATTGCTTTAGCAGCATGTTCACACTTACTGTCATGGGTTTGTCTGCACTGTTTTATACATCAGGACATAGCAGCTGCTGAAACGTTCTCCAGCTGCAAAACTCTTTTTCTTATTAAATATTTAACTCTAAATGCGTTGAAGCGGCCTTTAACAGACTGATGAGCAGCAGCAGTTGCTTCTCAATGCTGATGTCTTTCCATCTCGACATTGTGTTAACACGCACCTGTGCCCTCCAGAGGAGCAAACACAAAGCTTCCTTCGTAGCGGTGATCACACCGATTGAAACTTCCAAGGAAATATTTAGTTTTCCTAACGCAGCGTTTCCATTTTAGCTTTGTTCAAATATGACGACGGGGCGGGACCTGTTGCGTGTTTTTGTACACTTGAGGTTGGATTTGAATAAATTTAGAACCAGAAGACCAGATTGTTTTAATTATGCTCTGAACATCCTAGACATGTAAAAGAGTAGTTGTATTTACCCATGACTGTGTACCAAAATGCAACACTTCCACAAGAACGGGTGACAAAGTAAATGTAACCGTCCACTCTAGTGACTTCAGTCTAACTGAGACTGAGGGACAACAGATGAGACTTTACAAAGCAGATGTGGCAGACTTACTGTTGTTGGACTTGAGATCCCGATGAATGACGGGTACGATGGCCTCGCTGTGCAGGTACAACATCCCTCGGGCTATCTGCACAGCCCAGTTGACCAGGACATGAGGCGGGATGCGGCGGCCTGCTAGCGCCCGGCTCAGCGGCCCGCCTGAGGCATACTCCATAATGAGGCACAGGTTGGGCTCCTGCAGACACACGCCCTTCAAGGCGATGATGTTGGGGTGGGTGAGCATGGCAAACAAACGGGCCTCCTGCCGCACGTTCTGCGCCGTCACACTGATGTCCTCATCGGGGTCTTGCCGAGCCGCCTTCACGGCCACCAGCTCGTGTCTCCATGTACCACGATACACTTTTCCGAAGCCCCCGACGCCGATCACCTCCTCCAAGCTCAGCTCCCGGAAATCCACCTCCTCCGGTTCAAAATCGCCGACCACATCATGGTCTAGCTCGCTGACCACACTGCTCCCTGGAAGTTTGGCATACCCGCTTGGCTTGAAGGAGCCATAGTTGGCTGGGAAGATGCCCACCTTGTTGTTGACCTTACCGGCCCACCAGCCCTCGTCCCCTGATATCTCAGAGTCCTGAGAGAGAACCTCCACCTGGTCACCTTTACGTAGAGTGAGCTCATCTTTACAGGAGGCCTCATAGTCGAACAGGGCTGTCCACACGGGGTTGATGAAGTTCCCTTTTTGCGACTGCTCCAAATTTTTCCAGCTGGACAGCGAGCTACGGTTGAATATGTTCTTCAGCGGCTCCATGGAGCCTCAAGCAGATGTTCGGACCGGACCTGATTTAGCACCGAAGTGCTCAGAAAATAAAGTACAAAGGAGTACTTTATTGCACCTCGCTCCCTTTCCTGTCTTTCTTGTTGGCTCATCAGGAACCCGTGAAATGTGAGCACAAGTCAAGGCGACAGGGCGGCTAAACGAAAGCCAAATGTCTTTCATTCGTCTCGAAAGGTAAATTCAAACCTTTCCATTTCAGGAGGACTGTTGTGCTTTTCTAGAAGAGCTTCAAATGTCAAAGATGATGCTTCTTGTAACCAAGCCTGGTCTCTAATGATCACCTCATAATGACCCCTGCCCTCATTCAGATCTACCACCTGTTGAACTTAAGAGTCTCAGGACTCTTTAAAAACACCAATATCCAGAAGGAGGCTCTCTTAAAAGTTCTTGCTACACCTCCACACCAACATCTGGCTGTCCATGTTGGTTTCTATGTATTTTTAGCCATAAGTGCAGTGGCCACTACAAGCAGGAAGCGCCGAGAAGAGAAGAATGGCAGGAAAGGAGCATTCAGTTCAGCCAACGTTTTACGACAAGTTTCAGGCGCTGACCGCGCTGGCACTGGCAAACCCAAATATTCAATAACTGCGTCCGAACGCAACTTTGCGGCGGCCCCGTAGACAATCCCGCATCCATATTTGCGCAACAGTCCCCATGCTGGCGGTGCTAGCCCGCCGAGGTGATCTTTATCGCCAAAACCCGCCGACTCTGGAACAGGAAGAGCTCTCCAAACCTGCTCGACTCCACTTTCCAAAGAGGGAGGAAGTTCAAAACAAACGCCGTTGGTTCCTGGCGGGGGAGGCAGCGCCCGGTCCGGTCCAGTTCGGGTCTGAGCTCGGTGAGAACAGAACAACAACAACAAGCCCGTGAGAAGAACTTGTGATTCCGCTCCTCTTCCTCTGTCCTCGCGCTCACTGGTCAGGTCCTCGCACCACTTCAACGTCGAGGAGGGTGGGGCTTCAAAACTTTTTCTCTCCCAGCAGGAAAACGGAGTCAGATGACAAACACCGGATGTAGTAAGGAAAATAAAAGCGCAACTTCCGGTTTACAAAATAATACTCGTAAATCAATTTATTTTTCACAGAAAAACAAACACGTTGTGTGTTCAGGTTCTAGCGAAAGGTTGTGAACGATTTTATTATTTTATATTTTGGAAATAGCTTCTTTTTTTTTTATAGCTGAGTGTGGCGAATTACAGGTGAGTGCCTTGTGTTGTTTGTTGTTTATTTGTCAACAATGCAATGAAATGTTCAGGATGAGAAGAACCGATTCGACTCACTAAGTAAAACAACAAGAAATACTAAAGCATGCAATAAGAGTACAAAATAAATATCCTGATACATGCTCAATAATCCAGGTAGAAAAATAAAAAAAAAGTTCAATCTGGTCCTCTGGACATTCAAAAAACAAGAAAACAAACAAAACAACAAAAAAAAAACAAAGCAAAAAAATTTTAGAAATGTTTCGTCTCTCATCCGAGAGACTTCCTCAGTCTGAGGTGCTGTATTCAGCTCAGTCTCTTAAATAGCACCTTCTCAGAGTGGATCAACCAGTTTGCTGCTGACAACCAAAACCAGCTGCTCACATGCTCAAGAAGGACCATCAGCCTAACAATTCACCTCTAAACTACTGGAAAAGATTGTGGAGTCTCAGTTGAAACAGTTTTTGGGGGATCACGCTATCCTTGAGTTATTCCAATCTGGCTTCAAATCTCTCCATAGCACTGAAACTGCTCTACTGAAGGTTTTTAACGACATTTTCATATCCACAGACGCAGGTGATTCTGTGCTGCTTGTCCTATTGGACCTTACATCTGCTTTTGACACCATCGACCACAACATCCTCATTTCTAGACTGGAGCAGTGGGTGGGCATCACAGGGTCAGCCCTTAAATGGTTTGGGTCCTACCTCTCTGACAGAACCTTCTGTGTCAATATCAAAGATTTTAGTTCGGCATCGACAGCGCTCCAGTGGGGGGTACCGCAGGGGTCCATCCTCGGTCCCCTTCTCTTTTCTTTATACCTGCTGCCACTAGGTGCTATCTTCCGCAAACACGACATACCCTTTCATTTCTATGCCGATGATTGCCAAATTTACTTCCCCCTGAGGCACAGAGGCACACACTCTATTCAGCCTCTTCTTGACTGCCTGGCTGACATCCGGGACTGGATGGCTTTAAACTTCTTAAGCTTCAATGAGAAGAAGTCTGAAGTCATGCTGTTCCATCCCAGTGGCTCACTCATGAACCATGACATTGACCTTTTCTCTCTAGCCCCGCTAGAGAAACAAAAGGTCACTAATCTGGGGGTGATAATGGACCCGTCCTTAAAACTCAACAGTCACGTAAACATGATGGTCAAATCCTGTTTTTTTCAGCTGAGACGGCTGTCTAAGCTGAAGCCTATACTCTCCAAAAAGAACATTGAGACAGTGATCCATGCCTTCATAACATCAAGGCTTGATTACTGCAATTCACTTCTGTTTGGAATCAGTCAGTCCTCCATTGCTCGTCTACAACTGGACCAAAATGCTGCAGCCCGATTTTTAACTGGTACAGGCTATAGAGAGCACATCACACCAGTTTTGGCCTCCCTGCACTGGCTACCCATTCACCTTCGGATCCATTTCAAAATTCTCATGTACGTTTTTAAATCACTGAACAGTTCCGCCCCATCCTATCTCACTGATCTTCTGCAGCCATATGTCCCACCGCGCTCTCTGAGGTCAGCAGACCAGATGCTTCTCTCAGTCCCAGAAACCCGTCGTAAGCTCAGAGGTGACAGGGCTTTCTCTGTTGCAGGTCCACGACTGTGGAATGAGTTGCCACTGAGTGTCCGGCAGGCTCCCACACTCTCAGTCTTTAAGTCTCGCTTGAAGACCCACTTCTATTCGCTTGCCTTTAACACGGTGTGATTTGTTTTGGTCCGGTCTGTTCTCTACTCTGTTGGCCATTTTAGTTAGCTTCTGCTGCTATTTGTATCTGTATTTCTATTTTATGTTTTCCTGTCTGCTGTGCATGTTTGTGTTTTTTTGTACAGCACTTTGGTTGGCCTTGTTGCTGTTTTAAGTGCTATATAAATAAATTGGTATGGTATGGTAACAATGGATCATTAGCACACTGATGGCTGTTTACTATTCACAGGGGGCTGAGTGATACTAGCAATCACAGCATTGTAAGAGGGGGACAGTTGAACCCGGAGGCCTCCACCCCTGTTTAACGATGGACGATTTCTTTTCACAAAGATGGCCTCCTTTACTCCTCTCTCAAACCATCGTTCCTCTCTGTCCAGGATGTGAACATCTTCATCCCTGAATGAGTGACTGCTGGCCTGGAGATGAGTGTAGACCGCAGAGTCCTGGCCTGATGATGTTGATCTTCTGTGCTGGGCCATCCTTTTGGCTAGTGGCTGTTTAGTTTCCCCGATGTACGACTGATCACAGCCCTCCTGACACTGAACAGCATACACAACATTGCTCTGTTTGTGCCGGGGGACTGGATCTTTGGGATGAACCAGTCTTTGCCGTAATGTATTTTGGGGTTTAAAAGCCACTGGGACGTTATGTTTAGAAAATAAAC